GGGGGGGTCGGTTCTTTCAGTTGGTAGTACTGCCAAACCAGTCGATTAATACGTGCCCCCCTGCCGCCCCCCGACGATTGCGTTATGCTTGAAAAGGCGTCGCGACGGTGCTTCCCAAGTGCTTCCTTGGTCGAGGGCGAGGGGGACGCTGGAGGAGGGAGGAGGGAGGGCCCGGAAGGGTAAGGTCGCGTGACGTAAGAACACGATCCCGGAAGTTCCCTCGTTGAATTTATGACCGTTATAAATACAGGAGTGCTGATACGGCGCCGCGACGCAAAGCGTCCGCAGAGCTTCCTAGCGTGAAGCCTTTTTCACATGGACCTCTTCTTTTCCCCTGTGGCCTTCGTTCCCACCTAAGCGTCGTATTCCTCGCGCAGCGGAGAATCGATTCCGTGCGCGTTCCTTTTAGCCTGCAGCAGTCCTATTAAACGACCGATCGGCGTAACGATCGATCGCGATCCACGCGATCCACGCGAACCGCACCGACTGCATGATCCACGAGCGTGACGACGTCATCTCAGAATTATCCAGTCTAACCGGAAAACGCGTTCGATTGCCATTCAGCTTGCCCAGAGCGTCGGATGCACCGGTCGTCAGCGGAGGCTCCATCTTCTCCTGGGGAACGAAATTTAAATACACCGGAAGGACGGAAAAGGAAGTCCTTGAAGAAACGGGTCCATTGCGCAAGGACGAGCCACCCATACAGCGCTGCCAAAGTACGGGACTCAGAAGGAAGGCCAGCAGCGTACCAGCCACACCGAGTACACCGAGCCAGGACCTGGTTGAAATCCGTTAGTATCTCTTTTCCTCTTTTTCTCTTTTTCATTGATTCCTCTCCTTCACAAAGATCCTCTTTGATTGGATGTCTTCCTGTCGATCTTCAGAGTATCGAGATTGATCGATCGGTCCGGAGTGATAAGAGACGACATTTAACGTTTCGCAGGATACTCGAGTTTGCCACGGAGCTGTCACAGCGCAGGATTGGATGGTGCAGGAATGTCTGATGGCGGAAGTGGCGTTCCTCTGAGTTCCCCCTATTGTCCGGACAACACTTTACCGCTGTTGGAAACAGTCTCGGAGGATCAGGAGATTCACGCTCGACGGAATAACGGTTAGTCGAGTGTCGAGGATGATGTTGATATTTAAAAAAAAAAAAGAAAAAGAAAAAGAAAAGTTGGCTTCGCAATCGCTCGAGTTCCCACTTCCGGTACGACGGATGACGGAGCCCGTTATCCCAGGCCGCCGTTTATCTGGAGCGACACCCGAGCGTCATTGCATGCCTAGAATGATTTTCAAGATGTTCGAGAGTTATGGGGTTGCATGACTTTTCCTCTTTGATATCCCATCGGGCACAAAGTGTACTCGGCAAAGGTGCTCAGAGGTACTCGTCAAGTCGTCGAGTCGTCGAGTCGTCAATTGCCGGCTGTCTCCATAGCCGATCGTTATAGAGAGTCCTTGCTTTTGTCAAATCCAACCGAGTGCACTTTGTACCTGTAGATAGAAACCGGGGTGAGATCTCCTGGGGGAGGGAAGGGAGGGATCTGTGTATCAGAGGGATGTTTGGAGGATGGTCATTACTCTCAAGAATTTGTACAGCATCGACGTTATGAGGTGCAGAGTGAAGAACACCGTAATATCGAATCGTGCTTCTTTGGCTTTTTAGACTATCATTTGTTTTTCCTTTCTTTCTGTTCTTTAGCCGTAAACGAAAATGATTCGCATGCGAGTGCCACCTACACCACCTCCGCAATCGGTCAGACGAAAAAACAGAAATTCCCAAAGAGCACGTTGATCCGACCACAAGCGTTGTACAGTCAGAGAATAGTGATAGGATCGGAGGAGTTGACCGGTCAGAATGTCAGTAACGTCGTAAGGCAAAAGATCGATTCGTTTGAGAAAAGTCCAAAAGTCGTGAGGTCCACAGCTCTCATCATAAAGACCTCCAAGGCGCCAGCCAAGAGAGCCTTGCTAACGGCTGCTAACGGCTCTCTCCTCCCCAGAGCCCAGGAGGACCGGACAGTAAGGCCCGATCGTTCCAGCACTGCGTCCGCGACATCCGCAACATCCGCGATCGCGAGTGCCAATTCGCATAAGAACACGAGCACGAGCACGAACGACGGCCAGGTAAGAGCAAAGCCGCAGCCGCCGTCGCCGTCGCCGTCGCCGTCGTCGCCGTCGCCGAGTGAGACTTTACGAGCTCGTGCGACTCACTGTCAGTCGGCGAAGGAGACCGTGAACGCGAGCGATGTTTTCTCGACGACGAACTTAACAAAATCGGTAGAGCTCCTAGAGCCTCTAGAATCGGCCGAATCGTTAACAGGCGACAAGCCGAGCAACTTGACCAACCATAGAAACGGACTAGTCTCCCTAAAGAAACGTCTCGCTGCATCTTCAGGTAAGTCGCATCCTCATCCGCCGTGATCGGCTCGCCCATCATTATTCACGTCTCAACTGCCTCTTATCGATTTGACAACACACGCTTTCCACTCTCTCTCTCTCTCTCTCTCTCTCTCTCTCTCTCTCTCTACATGTCTCCTTCCTTACACGATAACGTTACTCTCTTACCTCACGTTCGTTTTATATTTTCTACACGTAACCTTTTAACCTTTTGTCTCTCCCTGTAAAATAGCGATCGCTTCACTCTTCCACCTCTTCATCTACACGTGCGTAGTAGTATGTACAATTGTACACATATCGTCTCGGGAATGGTGCACCTTTTTTTCTTTTGCATAAATTGAAGCATGCGTGTGAGCATCCGTAAGGAGGAAGTGTCGTTCTGTGCTCCAATGTCTGGTCAATATCCAGGGTGAACCGCTGTTATTCTTGGCTGCCGATGAAATCGACTCTGATAAATGTTTCCAATAAATCCAGTTTTATTTCTGTTTCAGTGGGGCAGAACGAGAGCGATCTCAATGACTATTACTTTCGGGACTCGTTCGATCATTCCTCCTCGGAGAGCCAACTCCTCGACGTCACCGGGAAGACGCACAGTCGTTCGGCGACGCCAGTGCCGAAGATGCAGAAGCTCCAGAACTCGAAGCTCTGTCTTCAAGCGCAGCACAGAACGGACGGCCGGATCACCCGGATCACCCTGAAGAGTCTCAGGATCGTCAAGCTCTTCGTTCCGGCCTTCATGCTGACGATAACCGTTCTCTTCATCGTGATCGTCCTCGTATTCGAGACGGACACCACTCTCTTCAACAGTCTGCGCAAGACACCGGAAATGGTGGCCTTAAGGAACCAATACTACGTCCCCATCAAGGAGTTTCTTAGAACGAAACTTGGCCTATTTTGATGACGAGGGCTAATGCCGAGAGTATCCTTAATCACGTAGCTTTCAATGCCAGTGCCAAGTCCAAGAGCGTCCGTGGAAATAACTCTTTTGCGCTAGATCCGTAATAATATTATTTATATTTTTTTTTTATTATACTTATTCCAATCTCTCTCTCTCTCTCTTTTTATGTTACTCATTCACCAACTAACTCATGGACTTATCGATTCGTCGATGGCACGAGTGAGATTGAAGTTTCGCGGGAAACGATGCGTACGAGAGATGTCGCAGGGTCTTTTTTTTTAAATCTATTTCTTTTTATCTGAACTCGGAGCGCCAGGCGCTTCCCTAGACTCGGCATGGAAATTCATTATATAATTTTATCTCTCTTTTGTCATTCCCGTCCTTATTCTTCTTGTATTAACGATCGAGTGGCTTGCTCTTCGCAAGGATCTAGGTACTTTGGTTTTAGCGATGATAATTTAAAAATTTTCTTTTTTTGTTTTACTGGAGAACTCACCGACGGTCTTCCCAAAGTCCTCTGCGTGCGACGAATTGCCCTGTACTCTCACGGAATGGCTATTTATTTTTGCATTGCTTTTGCATAATCCAGAAGGTAGATTTAATTTGTGCACTTTTTATGCCGAGCCTGGATGGAGGGAACTGACTCGTAGCTCCTTGAAGTTATCGACAACTGTATAGGGTCCATTTTGCAAAATGAAAGATTGAAAGGATGGCAAAATGGTAGAGCGAACGAGGGATATTAAATGTGGGCTGGTGATACTGGATGGCCTATCCACAGTACATACTAAGAAAATTCTTTTTTTTTTTTTTTTTGGTCAGAGACTTTCGCCAGAGTACATGAGACACACAAGTACGTTATGATACAATGAAGCGAATGAGGAGGCAGGTGAAAACAAACAAAGAAAAACAGCAGAATAAAAGAAAAAAAATATTATATAAAAGGTAAAATATTTTAACATGAAGACAAGACAGATGATATGTAATATATTAACTAGAGAATATAATTATAGCAATGTTAGGTAATTTTAAACGGTCAACGAAAAGCAATTCTTCGGTAGAACGTAAGTGACGTATTAGAGGCGGAAAAAACGAAGCAAAGGAACGAGGAAAAGAAAGGATACAAAAAATATGGATGAAATGAAACTGGAGAAAGCACGACGAGGCAAAGTACGAAATTTTAAAAATAAAATCGAATAATCGTTTTACGAGGATAAAATGTTTAACGCGCTAACGGACGAGGAGAGCATCCCTGACTTAGACGTCCATGTGGATTTATTTACTTTCGTTCCTCTTTTACTTTACTCTTATTTCTTTTTTTATACAAATCCATTTACTTCACTTTGATTGCTAGTTCCCTTTAATCACGCAGAAATTCGCGTAGCGTTTACCAAAGCGCCACTTATAGCTCGTAATAACGATGGAAATAAAGATGGAAAAGGGAAAACAGAATATTGCGCAATTGCGAAAAATCTACGAAACGATTCGCATAGTGTTTAATCGATTAAATGATTATTTTAAGACTCGCGAGAATGTCCTTGATGTTTCAAGGATCTTGAGTATGCAATCGATGACGTCACTATTACCAGATGTATGTAGCCACGTACATTTTTTCAAAGTAGCGTCGAGACACTTATTCTGTCGTTCTTCAAATTTTCATTTTCGTTTTAACAGATCACATGTGACTCTCTCTTTCTCTCTCTCTCTCTCTCTCTGATGTCTTTCGCATATCTCGCCAAATAAATGCAAGACGATCTCAATAACATTCCGTATTAAAGATATTCTTATACCGTTTAAAGGATTTCTCGAGGAAGGATCAGGATTAGGTGTTTATCGTCATCGTAGAAGCTCCAACATATTTACTATAATATACATAATACACAATACGCGTCAATCATTCGTACTGAATCATACCGTTTGTACATTTTAATGCTGTAATATTAAAAAGAAAAAGGCGAAACGATCATTAACAAGACGCTTCACGGCAGGGGAATCCCCAGTTAAATTGGCAAAGGATCCTCCTTATCCTCTCTGTTTTGATAAATCAAAAAAAAGGAATGAAATGAAAGAAAAAAAAAATTTTTGTTAAATGACTACTCTCCCACGTAGGACGAGTGTCGTTTAAATTGGAGCGATGCAAGAAGACGCCTCCAAGTTCTACACGTCCTCCACGTGTGGTCCATTTCCCTTTTCACATATGTATACACACGCGCGTACACAATGACATTTCACATATTAATAATACACATACCCACAGGACTCTCTGACCCATTTCCTGAAAGTGCCTACGCTGTTCTAGAATCTTTTTGATGCTGCGTTTCGCTAAGTTTTCGGCAGTTCGTATATTCGATCGATGATAGGTTCGTTTGAGGCGAGATGACGCCTGCGTCGAAAAAGATGAAGAAAAAGAAAACGAAAGAAGCGAAAAAAGATAATCGTGCCAGGTTAAAAGTTCTATGCGAACACGCGCGTTTGTAATACCTAAGTATGACGTCACTCGAAAAGCGTCGCGACCAATGGAAAATTACGTCGCGAGGTAACGCGGGACGAGTTACGTCGCGACGTCGCGACAAATTATATAAATAAACGGATGTCAATTGCAATATAATGTAAATCTAGTTGTAAACGGTGAAATGGACGGTTGGTAACCGAAGACGGAAGGGAGTGGCGGGAAAGTTTGAAATTTTCCCAGCCAATGAGAAGCGAGACGGAACTATACGTACCTATGTTATAAGAAATTGCTGTGGAGAAAAAACGAATCGGTGCAATCTTTTAAAAATGGCGTCGATATGCAATACGTTGCCTGATGGCTCCTGATAAGCGCAGCTATAGTTGGGTTAGGGGATCTTACACGTGGTAAAGAAGAATGAGCTGCATACGTTATTAGATCACTAAAGAGACAATGTGAGAGAGGCTTTTTAAGTGAAGTAATTTTAACCTAAGTGAATGTAATTGTAATGCTAACGACTTAGGGAATTACGACAGCGACTTATTATGTAACATAAGGATTTCATGTGCGAGCGTTCCGGACCAGATGCGAAATGTACTCTTGAGCCATTTCATTGTCTTTCAATGAGATTGGTCGAATGCGATCTGGACCACTCTGGACCACGAGCGTAATTCCGTTGTTAAGGTGATGGCTGTTGATGAGGAATAACAAAAAATAGGAAACTAGTAGGTCAAAGTCGCTGCTTTTTTGTTTGCTAATAGAGCCATAAGCTTTTACAAGTGAAATCTGTACTTACTGGCGAGTCACTCGTTTTTTCCATTGAACTTTTAGACCGTACGACACCTCCCATCTTGTTGGTCATACTATTTGCGCGAATTCTTGCCTAGCTCTCTGTAAGGGTATTTATTTAGAAAACCTCATTCAAGGCAACGCTTTAATTTTCTGATCAAGCGGCAGTATTGATGAAGAACAATTGTATGATTATCAGTTCTGTCCTTCAGTTGGAGACGTAGTCAATTTACGTTGGTGTGATAGACGTAACTTACAGTTAGTACAAAGAGATTTGTTAGAGAGTTGACGTTAAATCGAATGATTAGAGTGAAACTAAATGCTTGTGATTTATTAATCGTGGGTCTGTGGCCTGTGGACAAAAATTGATAAAAGGATTATTATTTTACGTTAAGTAATCCGTATGCTTTTAGCTTTACATATCACCGTATACATATAGAGAGATCCTGTTCTCTCTAATGCGTTCCTCTTTCGTTTCTACTATATTTATTTTTTCTTCTTGTTTATTTAATTATTTCATATTTTAATGATCTACTTTTCTCTCTCTCTCTCTCTCTCTCTCTCTCTCTCTCTCTCTCTACTTTTATCTTGTTGATAAATGTGCGCACGCGTGTCGTACAGATATTTTCATTGTTTTAAAAATGTCCACGCGGAAGAACGTTAAACGAATCATGCCAAGACAATGACACGCCGAGAAAACAATCATTACTTTGAAAGGTTCGATCGTATCCGTAAACGGCATCAAAAGGGAATAACGTTTAATCTCTTTTTCTGCGTTACGGCTGACTACGATTTCGGGAATTCTCATGATTTTTTGGACGAATAAATTTTATATATGCCGACAAGGAACCTGACCTGTCGTGACCTGTAATCAAAATCTTTGTAATCCTCTCGGACTTTTGTATGCTTGCCCTTAGCGACGTAGTTATACGATTAATGTGGATTTTTCTTCAGGTTACAAAAACGAGGAAGAAACAATGAGACAACGTTAAGGAAAGAATAATTAAATTATGGCTCTCTAATATGATACACGCAATCAAGTTAGAGATTTTGAAACCAAAGAAAAAATCCTACATGTCCCTGGTACATCTGTGTTGCCAATCCCCATTCGGGAACAATGGCGAATTTTTCCACGGAGGAGAATTAGAATAAGAAACTCTAATTGGAATTCGTTCTGATGTTCTCGATAATTGGCTCACGTGGATGCTTTAAGTTTCTAGAAACGTGCAAATCGTTGCCTCGTTGGTACATCGACATTTTTGGCAACACCGCTAGTAGCTCGATCGACATAAAGGCAATCCTTTGCGACTACTACGTACAACCGAGCGACCCAGTGAAACCTGAATTTACTGAATTTCGTGTTCATTCAAAGAAAGGATCTTCCGGTTACCCGCGAAGGACAAGAATTATTTTTTTCTCGCCAAGTTTCTCGTTTTACGTGAACCCCAGTTGTTTTCAAAAAGTTTTTACCTGGACTACTTCCAGGAGGAATGAGCACTGTCTCGGCAGACTTCTTGGTTCACATAATTTTCAGTCCTGTGAAAATTTTCATGTTCTTTCGCTTCCTTTTTTTTGTCTTCTTATCGTCGTACTTTGCAAAAACAACAAGACCAAAACGGTAGTTGGCGAAGGCGGAAGGTTCTTTGAATGAAAAAAAATGTTAATATTAATTGCGGGTAACGAAGTAGGAGATCCTTTTGAGAAAAAGGTCTGCCTTGTCAAAGATCACGATCGAAAATAAATTTGCACTTTTTCAAAAAAGGAATATCGGCGTACCGCATTCATTTTTTAATATAACCCTTTATATTAAAAGAATGAACTCGAAGGGAGATAGCGCAGATCGTGTGAATTGTCAAAACACGGAGAGATCGACTGGACGATTCTTGTAATTGGGAATTGTCCCAATGTTGTTCATATACATATTGTTGTTCATAGAGGTACGTACGCAAAGAGACGAAGATTATTTGGAAATGTGCGTACTATGCGATTACTGTAATGTGAAGCAGCTGGCATACATAAATAAATGACGAAAGTAATCTTTTCCATCGATGTGACTTACTTTACTTTCAATTCGCTTTACATAGCTCCTACGTCCTTTCCTTCTTTACCTATCTTTTACGGCTGCTACAACTTTTCTATAATTGCACAGATATTTCTTTTCTTCTTGGGATCCCCTTTCCTCGTCACGATGCTTCGGGCTTCATTTACAAATTACATACGTATATACACAACATCGCACTAAATATCCATAATTCCGTTCGACAGAGAAACCTCATTATCGGCAATTGACAATGTTAATAATTAAGTACTCAGCAGAATTTTATTAATTACAATAACTGATCTCTCAGGGCAGATTTACAGTAATATGTTTATATCAATTCATAAAAATGTTGTACAACAGAAAATTTTTTAAAATGGTAATCTCGGCGTAAGACGCTTTTTTTATTTATATGTGTATCATACATCGTCATACACACATTTTTGTTTAATAAATAAAAAAATCTTAATTCCGCTATATTTATCATTTTTTGAACATCTCTTGCAATGTTATTCAGTGAGTTTCAACTTATTATCTATATCATACTAGCGCCGTTCTTAACAGGCAGGGAAAGTCCTAAAAAATATACCTTCATTAAATTAATTCGATTTATTTACTGCATACTGTAATTGGGCTTCAATGTGAAATTTCTCACCGTGTAAATTCCGACGCCGGTTCCGCAAACTTATGCCTGACCATAAAAGTTGCAACAGCCTCCGCCACTTTATCCGGTACGTCTTCGTGTACTGCGTGTCCGCATGCTGGTAGTACTTGCATTTGGAATTTTCCTTAAGAATATATAATTAAATGTGGGGAATCAAATAATAATAATAGTAGTAATAATTTTGACAATGAACATGAACTGCGAGATTACCTTGCATTTGTCCGACGGTGAGTTCACGATCTAATCTATCAACGCCAGCTAAGAGAAGCATTTTTGGTGATGGAATGTTGAGAAATGCCGCAGATAAACCCTTAAACCATCCGGACCAATGTTGTTCTGTCTTTGCTAAATCTATTCGCCATGCGTAATTTTTTTTTTCAGATTTGTTGCTATGTGGAGGTGGTGGCATGTTAGACGTCTCTTCTTCCTGAATGATGTCTTCGCGATGGATAACATCTTCCACTTCGTTCTCATGGTTGGGATCACTTGAAAGTGATTCAATGTCATGTGTAGCTAATTTCCCAGTCTTAATACTAGAAAGACAACAGGAATGTAAAACTTTGTAACTTGGAGCTTTGACAGTTTGTGTATTGGATATCTAATAATACCTATAAAATTTACAAACTTTTTTATTTGTCCAGGAACTGATACTTTGGCCGACTGTGCATTACGTATTTGGCCGCTTCTTACGCTGAAATGTAACAAATCCATGCTAATAGTCATGAGACAGATGTATCATAGAACTATCTATGATATAAAAGAATAATTTACCTGCTTAAAAAAATCGATTAAAACTGATTGAAAATAGTTGGATGAAATTAGATTTGTGCATAGGAAACTTCTTATTAAATTTTATTGATTTTTGATACTGAAAATGAATTAAATCCCATTAATTCCAATAAAAAATTTATTGTTCATGAGGTAATCACCAATGGAGTTACATGAACACGATAAAATATCCATTCAAAATCGTTTTAATCGGATTTTTTAAGTAGGGTATGCTATTTGTTCGATTGCAATGTTCGTTTACAAGCTGTTAAATTATTGTTGCGTACAAACCACCACTCTATAGCTTGGGAGATTGAGTTGAAACTCGATGGTCGAGATCTTAAAAAACTCTGCATAGACGTTAGCGCATCCATTGCAGTTCCTTCAACAACGTCAATGACTACTACACCTGCTAAATTTGTTATAAGTGGTGCTGCTTTCACTGCCACTGCACCACCCATACTATGACCTACCAAAATTATTGGAGTCTGATCGTCTGAGACAGATTCTATTATTCCAGCAACATCTCTAAACAAGGAAAATATATCCATTTTAGAAGTATAAACATCTTACTTCCCTTGATACAGCTAACTCAGTAACTGTGTACATACAAAGCCAGCGTATCAGCAGATAAATCCTCTTCATTTGTTGTGTGTGAATCTCCATGACCACGTAAGTCTATTGCCATTACTCTACAAACTACCATTGTGACTATGCATTTCTGAAATATTTATTATATTATGCTGTATTATTTGTAAGTACAATATTATTATAAAAACATTATTTCTCTTACTGTAAACTCGGCCCATGTTAAACCACTGTATCCACCACCATGTAATAAAACTAATGTCGGTCCTTCTGTTCCCACAGAGTAAACATGAAATGTGTTTTCACCGACTTCAACATCTTCAGAATGATCGAAATAAGGAGACCATAGTATTGGATCATAATCTCGTTTGCGCTGCAATGCCCTAGGTTTAAACATTCTATTAAAAACTTATAAAATTATATGTAACACTTTGCAGAATAATAATTTCATTACATTCACCATACATAGAATCACAAAAATAGTATATTTCGTAATAACCACACACTTAAAATTAGACACATCTCCAAGGTAAGAAGATAATCTTTAACAGGAATTTGCTCAAAACAAAAATCTATAAAATTGACAAAAAAAAGTCTTGACAACTGCTAACCTGGACGGTACTCCTCCACAATTCAATCCAGTTGGTGGTAGCTTCGATTTCAAAATGGATTTCTGAAGCGAAGACATATTTGCTGAGTGAGAAGGATTACTTTTCTTCAATGAATAATATTAAGCGTTTATCCTCGAATATTTTAACTCTTCAGAAGCACAGCACGGTATACATATGATAAAGCTAATCCAAGCACAATCGTATCTGGCCGCGTCAAGTCGCGTACACAGTCGTGTTTTGATTATTCCTAGCAATTCCTAGATATTGAACAACATCGAGATTACTCCAGACAGAGATGAGCAGGGAGATGTACACCGCTCCGGTTTTAGGCGATATCAAAATCATGCCGCTAAATCGTAGCGGCAAATCTAGAAGTACCTAGGATTCTGTGATCATCGCCTCCGTCGACAAAGCAAATCCCGTCGTAGTCGAGCTAAACGTGAACAAGAACGCGTAGCTTGGCGAGCAGAGGTTCTCCGTTACTCTCCGCTGGTTCCCAAAGCAACCCTTAGAACGAGACCGGGAAAGATTAGTAATATCAATGCCATTAGAATTACATTAAAATATATCACTACAATATAATATACGTGTGGTATGTTACATGCGCTACCACTTTAAACTTTTCTTATTCCAAACGACATTTTAAAAACTTAGTTTTTAAGGATATACTGGGAGGAGAGTGATGGAGACATAGGAAGGAATAGAAGATTGGAAAATAGAGTAGAAACGTTTGGTGGCAGCAGACAGGGAATATGTTGTTGAAGGGAAAAAGGGGAAGATTGTTAGAAAGAAAGAGTGAAGAAGAGAGATGTAAATGACTGAGGGAACAAGAGGAAAAGAAGATGCGTAAAGCGTATGCATGAAGACCAGATTGTTCTGGAGGAGCGAAAAAAGAGAACAGTGGGAAAAGTAGGAAAAGTAGGAAGTATAAGGAAGAGAAATGGGTCCCTCCGCGCCCATTTCCGTAAGGTCCTGCCTCTCCTGAAGGGAGCTACGACCCCTCTATACCAGGAGGAGAGTGATGGAGAATAGGAAAGAATAGGAGATTCAAAAAGTGTATAAGTGTTACAAGATAATTTATTCGACAAACGCAATAATGATACAGTATACAAAGTACAGACATACATACAGACATACGAAGTACATAGTATACAAAGTGCAGTAATGCATACAGACATACACATACAGCTCGCGAAAGATTTGCAATAACAGTACCATCAGAGATATTACTACATATATCACTACAATATAATACACGTGTGGTATGTTACATGCTCTAACACTTTGGTCTTTTCTTTTTCCAAAAGACATTTTAAAAAGTTAGTTTTTAAGGATATATTAGGAGGAGAGTGATGGAGATATAGGAAGGAATAGAAAATTCGAAAAATGTATAAGTGTTACAAGATAATTTATTGGAAACATCCAATAATGATACAGTATACGAATTACAGATATACATACATACATGGTTTACAAAAGATTAGCAATAACAATACCATTAGAGATATATTACATATATCACTGCAATATAATATACGTGTGGTATGTTACATGCACTACCACTTTAAACTTTTCTTTTTCCAAAAGACATTTTAAAAACTCAGTTTTTAAGATTATAGCAGGAGAAGAGTGATGGAGAATAGGAGGGAATAGGAGATTCGAAAATTGAGTAGAAACATTTGGTGGCAGCAGACAGGGAAGATGTTGTTGAAGGGGAAAAGATGAAGATTGTTAAAAAGAAAGAGTGAAGAAGAGAGATGTTTACGACTGACAGAACAAGGGGCGAAGAAGATGCGTAAAGCGTATGCACGAGATTATTCTGGAGGAACGAGAAAAGAGAAAACTCGAAAAAGTAGGAAAAGTAGGAAGTATAAGGGAGCGAAATGGGCCCCTCCGCGCCCATTTCCGTGAGGTCCTGCCTCTCCTGAAGGGAGCTACGACCCCTCCGAGGCCCCATAGGGGACCATGTTTTTTTTTGTTTTTGTTGAGGAAAACCCCCGAGTCCTGCGGCTGTCGCGCACAGGACTAGGGGGGAAAAACCTCAGGAAGGGAAGGAAGGATGACTACTCTTATATGACTACTTGAATTAATATGTTCGACCCGACCAAAGGAATAGGACAAGTAAAACAAGCACAATGGAAAGTGAGAGGGAATAGAATGAAACGAGAAGACAGAAGGGAAGATAGAAATAAAGAAGTTAAGAAGTAGAAAAGTAAGGAATATAAAAGTAGAGTAGAAATAAAGAAAGAGATAAATCAGAAAGAAAAGAATGACAGATAAAGAAATATGAATGTAAAGAAGAAATAAATATAGAAAGAGAAGAATGTTGAAAATGAATAAGAGTAATGATTCCAAGAGACCAGTATAGGAGACCGGCTCAAGGAAGAATGAGCGCTCGGAGTCCGGGCACTGCCTCCAACGCTCCCCCCACTCTCCGCCATCTCCCACTCACCGAGTCCTACCGCGACGAATTTGCGCCCACACAATTTTGGGCAACTTCCAGTACTTCTAAATATGCTTGGCCTGAATTTCTGATTTCTGAGTGTTAATATTTTACTTTATTAATTTAATTAATTATTTTAATGTTACAAACGCTTACTTTATTAATATTTCAATTTGAATGTAATTTATTTTCGATATTCTACAATTTCAATTCAAATTTGATCTACTCCGTATATTCTGCGAGATTTTTATTTAGCTTCAACTTTATATTTTGAATCAATTTTGAAAGTAAATCAAGGTCCAATAATATTTAGTAAAAATTGGGGTGGTACACGGGTGTCAAGTTGGCACTTTCTTAAAAATGTCTTAAAAATATTTCAACAATAGGCTTTTTCAATAATTCTTGAGAAGTTCTATATTTCCCGGTCTCGTTCTAAGGGTTGCTTTGGGAACCAGCGGAGAGTAACGGAGAACCTCTGCTCGCCAAGCTACGCGTCTTGTTCACGTTTAGCTCGGCTACGACGGGATTCGCATTGTCGACGGAGGCGATGATCACAAAATCATATTTCCAGACTCGCCGCTACGATTTAGCGCCATGATTTTGGTATCGCCCACTGTATGGTTAGAGTTCAATGGTGTGACTGCTGTTGATTTCGCATGGTGGGTACCTTATGTACCGCGTATTTCTCGGAGCCAATCATGTAGCCGGAATTTCGTTCTATTATCTACCAGAAAACTAAGGAAATTGTGCGATTGGCTGACGCAAGTTATGCGTGCGCGAAGTATACTTTTCATGGGGAATCAGCCTGAGCCTTCGCAGGTAGTGGTGGTCAAAGGTGGTCAGAGATGGTCGGAGATGGTCTGAGGCGTCATTGGCAGTGATTGGCAGTCAGCAGGCTTTAAGCAGCTCTAAGCGTCATGATGGTGCGTGGGTTGAAGTGGTTCCGTTCCCACCGTTTTTTCTTTTCAGAAAAGTGTTTGTTTTGAATCATAAAATCGCGAACAATTCCTTTAGATATTATGTGTCTAACTCCATTGTGGGAAGTTGCTCTGTCATATGAGTCGCTATGGAGCAATATATTGGAGACCGCAATATTAATGGAGAATAAAGTCTGAGCTCATAGCTATATGATGTCGGAATCGCCAAACACGTCTCCTACACGTCTATGGAAGAGGAAGAAAAGCTGGTTCCTTTGCAATCCGTTGCCGCTCACCCTATGGATGCTTCATGCGTGGTTAACGAATTACCCTGTCGCCACAGCCGACCTGCCTTTGCCATCCATTAAAGCCAATCAATGTCCCGTTGAATGTGCTTGTCTCGGGAACGTAGTCGACTGTAGTAGGCTGCAGCTCGTTGGGACTCCCAGCGGTTTACCGCCCTGGACTGAGATATTGTGAGTTTTCTAGAGAATCGTCATTATAAGTATCGTATTGCTCATTGATTCATACCTTTACGTTGCATATATTATTCTATTTCAACGACATCAGGTTTCAAGTTCTATGTCTCTATGAATATAATGAGGTCTTTGCCACTGATCCTGAAGTCAGGCATGACTGTTTATAGAATCCAGTTGCAAAAAGGTTGTTTGGTATTACCTTCTTTGTATCCAGAGTCAAGGATAACAAGAACTCAATGCATCGAATACGTAAACCTTTTAAGGTCTTTCATTGCAACTTAAATGGACAGTCGTGTCTATTAAATATATTGTGCCATACAGAGTTAATTTAAACGATGTTACATTCATTATTTATCATTATTTATTATAAAATATTTACAATGTCATATAATTTTTGTTACACACATTCGAATTCTTGTATTTTATTGTTTAAATTAAGTACAGTAGAATGTACTGCATCTTCTATATTATTTATAACTTTTAAACGTTTCAGGGACATAAGCGGCAATCGATTGGGAGACAATTTTACAACTGCACTGATGGAATTAACACAACTGCAGGGACTGAAAATTAACAAAAATCAATTAACTCGAATACCTGATCTTCCCTTTCTCAAGAATTTATCACAACTCTCTTTGTACGTATGCCTACATTTTCTATCAGCAAAAATAGCATTTGAAAAAATATCTCACATGGGTTCATAACAAGTACGGACGTATCGTGCTACACCATTCACGAGGAAATCTTGAGTATCCGTCCGTCATTACGCAACACCTATCGTTATCGCGTCTTCGAGGACTTGTTTACTGTCAATCATAATTGATATCCAATCATATCTTTATTGTTATCGCTAGCTGGTCGAAAAACGCAGTACAACGTGCCTTGATCGAACGAAGATATTGTACTTCGCCGAATATTGAAATGACAGTTTTCATTAAAACACAAAGTTCACAACGTTAAAAATTTTAGGATATTAACTTTCATATCTTCTTACGAATCTTTGCTTAACTCGGGAATTAATCTAATGTATTATAATGATCACGATCCCCAGGTCTCACAATTCTATCAGCAATGTCCACGGCGTAGCTTTGCAGAGCTTACCAGAACTGGAAATCTTGGATCTCAGTGGAAATAAATTGGGCACCTTGCATCGGGGTTCGTTTCTGTCGCCAAATCGTTTAACACACTTGTAGGTGTCTGTAAAATATAATTTGTTAATTCGCTCATTAATCCGTTCCTTAATCCACCGGATAACGATTCCTTTTTCTTCTATGTGACTGTTAACAGAAATCTGAATAGCAATCAGATTGGTACTATAGAAGCTGGAAGTTTGGACAACTTGACCTCCCTCGAGGAGCTGCGACTTAATAAGAATCGTCTTAGGCAATTGAAAGACCTCTTCACCAATCTCGGGCGATTACGAATCTTGTAAGCACCTTGTTTCTTAATTCAGAGCGCTCTCTGAGCCTTGATCTACAACTGAGAATGCCTTATAGGGAACTTAACAGGAACGAGCTACAGCAGATTCATGGCCTGAGTTTGAAGAACCTTACGAGTCTGGAGGAACTGCGATTGAAACGAAATAAAATAGACACGCTCTACGATGGAGCCTTCTGGCCGCTCAAAAGCTTGGTTCTCCTTCAACTAGACTTTAACGAGCTCTCAGTCGTAAAGAAGGGTGGACTATTTGGTTTGGAAGGACTGCTCAAACTGACACTCTCGCACAACCGTATCTCTACGATCGAGGCTCAGGCGTGGGACATCTGCCACAAAATAACCGAACTGTCAGTATCTCACCATCAAGACATCCTATCCCTTAGATTAACAATAAATTTTATCTTCTTTCGTTTAGCGACTTATCGTACAACGACTTGGCTTCTATCGAGCGTGGAACATTCGAATTTTTAGGAAAACTCGAAAAACTTAAGATGGATCACAATAAAATTACCTACATATCCGACGGCGCTTTTAATAATACACCGAACTTGCAAGTGCTGTGAGTATTATAGTGACTGAAAAATTTAATAACGTTCTTCAGTTTGCACGTGATACAACGGAACATATATCATATTCTAGGGAATTAAATTCCAACAAAATTTCATACATGGTTGAGGATATTAACGGAGCCTTTGTGCCTCTCGCTCGACTCTTGAAATTGGGTCTGGCCCACAATCGAATTAAGTCGATCAACAAGAACGCCTTTACCGGACTTATTCGACTTACGGAATTGGATTTGACTGGCAACAATATCACCAGTATTCAGGACAATGCGTTGGCCTCTATGGCCGGTCTCGTTACTCTTAAGATGAATTCGGGTGAGTTAAAACGGAAGAATGGTGAAGTTACGGATGTGCCAGCCGTCGTTACTACGAATCATTGACAGGGTCCTTGGTGTGCGATTGCGGTCTGCAGTGGCTGAGTGTTTGGTTGCGAGATCACAGGTATTCCGGTGCTGGCATTCGTTGTGGTTATCCCCATTGGCTCCAGAGCATGCCTTTGACAGATCTGCACCATACTAACTTTACGTGCGGTAAGTACTAATTGCCGTATAATTGGACATGTGAAATCTATGTTTTTTCAAAGCGAATATCGTACTAAACAGATGAATACCCGAAACCACGAATCATCGAAGAACCGGTCAGCCAAATGAGTATAAAAGGTGAAAATGTCACTCTGATATGTCGGGCGACCAGTACCGCAAATGCTCCTCTCACTTTCATTTGGAAACACGACAACGTCGAATTAAAGGACATGAAATTGCAAAGCGACAACGGTTCTGCGAATCGCGGAGTAACAGACGTTTCTTCCGAGTTGCGGCTGATTAATGTGACGCATGCGGCTGCCGGTAGATATCAGTGCATGGTGAGCAACACTTACGGCACCACCTACTCCGCTAAGGCCAAAATCAGTGTCCTCGGTAGGTATCGATTCTTCGTATATACTTCGACCTCCCAATGTATTCCTTCCTATAATCAAGCGGATTTACAATGTACAGTCTATCCGTCGTTCTCAAAAATCCCGCACGATATACGAGTGCCTGCTGGTAGCACGGCTCGACTCGAATGTTCCGCCGAAGGGAAACCCAGTCCGCAAATTGCCTGGCAGAAAGACGGTGGCAACGACTTTCCAGCAGCACGCGAACGCAGGATGCACATGATGCCTACGGACGATGTTTTGTTCATAGTCAACGTCAAGATTGCTGACAGTGGAGTGTATTCCTGCACGGCACAAAATTTGGCTGGCATTATTGTGGCGAGCGCTACGCTCACGATACTCGGTATGTTGGTACTTTGAACGTAGACACACTGAAGACTGTCGGTTGCGATTTCTTTCCAAGTCGCTATTTCCCCTTCTCTGCGCAGAGACACCGTCGTTCGTAAAGCCTATGGAAAATAAGGAGATAACGGTCGGAGGCTCGATCGTTCTCGAGTGTATGGCTAGTGGATCGCCTCGTCCAAAGTTGTCCTGGAGAAAGAATGGCAGTCCGCTGCAAGCAACCGAACGGCACTTTTTCACGGCGGAAGATCAACTCTTGATAATCGTTGATACGATCGCCAGTGATGCCGGTACTTATGAGTGCGAGATGAGCAATTCTCTGGGCAGCGTTGTCGGAGCCTCCCACCTGACAATCACTCCGGGTAAGCCTAGAGCCATAACGCGTCAGTTTGATAATCCGAAGAAGTGAAGTGAAGTGATAGATTCGTACGATCTTTACGATTGCGATATGTTTCTGTTAATTCTAGCTCCTAGTCCGGTGGTCAACGAGGACGACATGTTGGGTCTGATAATAATCACTGTGGTCTGTTGTGCCGTTGGGACATCGATCGTCTGGGTGGTGATCATATATCAGACAAGGCGGCGACTAAACGCGACTCATAACGGGACGCCCAGGACGAGCAGTCACGTGAATAGCAACAGCAGCAGTAGCCGGCAATTGGCAGCGGGTATCCTTCCAAACGGTCCTGCGGAAGCTCAGACGCAACTTTACTTGGACACCAGTTCGCAACACAGCAAGGACAGTGGAACCGGCGATAGCACCAATCCGAGTAGCGACCAGTTACAACTTTGTTTGCCTGGTGAGTCTAGAGAGGATGACGTCATCTCAATTTTGTTATTATTATTTTTTTTTTCATTTATGTTCCCCCAGAGGAAATTGTCAACTGCGCCGCTTCGGCTAATGGCCACGAGGACGACGGAGCCATTACTTGTGCCACGGATGACGACGGACTGATTTCCAGACTTCCCGATACTTACGGTACCGATGACTCTCGGACGGCCGGAAATGCGTCTGACCCCGTGGACTCCGGTGACGTCGGCGACACCAACGGCGGCACGCATCCTCTCTTGCGGTATACGAACCACGAACGAAACCTTCGTCGCGGCACATTGCATTTCGATTGCACACCTTGACAGATCAGTCTTTGACCGCTAACTTCCTGATGATTAACTGCTATCCACTTCTTTATTCCCTTGCTTTCAGTTTTGCAGTGATCATCGTCCTTCTTGTTCTCTTTATTATTCTCCCTTAAAGTACGTTCGCGCTTACGTTGACTATCCGTGTGATATTTCACAATATTCTTTCGTAAATTTATTGACCCGACGGGCGAATTTATCTTGCATTTAAAGAAAGTTCAGTGAATATGCGAATACTAGGATAAGTTACTGTAAATAGTTAATTTAAAGGAAATAGTCGGGAAGAAAAGAGAGGAAAAGAGGAAACGGGAAATGGATGAGGGGGTGGCGCGAAAAGATGAATAACGTGGGCCTCGTCTAAGGAAGTTACACTTACGAGCATAAGGAGATTAGTATACGGTTGAGAATAGTTGAATATCTCAAGTTGTGGAAGAGGCTAGGGGTCTCCTCGCGCCCACTCACAAAACACACACACACACACACAAGCCAGCCTTTTGTGATAGATATTTATTCTAGAATTAATTGACTTAGGTGAGTTATTTGTGTTGATTGGCAATACGATTTTATGGGGATGCGTGAACCGCGGATTTAAACAGTTCATCGCACCTAAGTGCCGGCTTATAATCAGATATTTCGTAAATTGTCTTCCGTTTTTCTTTCTATCTCTATTCGGTAGACCCGGTATATACATAAATATATACACTAATTGTACTAAATTTATTTTACTCGATATTTAAAGTATTGCTCACTATCGATAAGTATGTCGCTTCTAATTTCAATTAATCCCTAGGTCCATAGAACGCGTAAGGAATTTTATTTTAGTCCAGTCTTATCGTCTAAGTTTAAGCGAACGTTTAGTTGAGCTTACTTATTTAACGCTCATGATTGACTAGCTCGAATGGCATAACAATCTGAAATGAGGTTAGATAATATCAGGCTTAAATTTAAACGAAAAAACTGGGAGCTTTGTATCGTGTAACGAGCTCATAGGGGTAGCCCTTGTTTTGTTGACTAATTTTGTTTTCTATGTTTATTATCTATGCCATGCTTACCATGTTTACCATGTTTACGATGGCGTCAATTGAGTAGCAACGATTGCTTTAATTGTTTTCATTTTTCTACTTCATTCTTGGAATATTAAACATGCGCCTACAGTAATATATAAGATAGATGTAGTGCTTCTCTTAAGAAGAAGTTGTTAATGAAACAAGAAGAGAGAAAAAGCTAGCAAGGAGAAAAGATTGTAAAAGTGCGACTAATTGGAAAAACGTACATTGGAAATGAATTCGTTCCCAAAGAGAAGCACTGATCGTGAGAGTGCATAAGACAAAGATTGAGACAGCTTGTGTCATATACTCGGCCTTAGTAGTCTCTGTATTTGTCTATTTCTTTCTTCTACATATGTATTCAAATTAAAATGTTTCGCCGACAAATGGATGCTCCATCCCCGGATGACTTTTTAACCGGCGAATAATGAACAATTCACAAAGCGTTTACTGGGCGAAACACCAAATGAGCCATCTCTTTGATTTCAGTATTTCCCTTGTTATAATGAGATATTGCGTACAAATACAAGTAACCATTTGAGAGTTTTAGTGGTCTCTTTACAATTTATTCTAATTCGCAATCCTAGCTCCTAAAGAAACCGTCCGACTCCTCGTATCGACAAAAATATCGATGGCGTGCTTCCCTTTGCATTTATTTGTTGAATTTACACGAAACCTCTACACTGGCTCCTGACTACAAGACGCTGTTTACGAAGGAGAGTCGACGAGTGTCGGGAAGGCTCGCAGTTTCAAAGTCGAATCGGCACGGCTCGCCCTCGCGTAACAAAGCTTTGCCACAGAGTGAAGTATGAAAGAGGGTTTTGGTGCACTGAGAATGAGCTACGAGATACGAAGAGGGGGGAGGCCAGAAACACGCGGTAGAGTAGAGACCTGCTTACTCGACAGCAATGTCCGTCTATGCTGGTGTCCTCTTTTCTTGTCCCTTTGCACGATTCTCGCTTCAGGAGAGTAGAGGAAACAAGTTGAGCAAGCCGCGTGGCCACTTTTAAACACGAATAGAAGACACCATCTCAATATTCTCTCACGTATATTTCCAAGTATCACAGTATCTCGGTCTTTTTAGTGAGATCCACTTGTCTTCAAGTGACAATCACTAATATAAAATAGTTCGTGCACTCAGGAACACCTTGTGGCTCGAGCGCGGCAATTAACCACGTGCGTGTGCATGTATACACCTCCTATAGGATAGTACCATATATTAAAACTGGAGTTCGTACAGCCAATCGTTCGTTTACGTATTCAGCTGCGACTCGATTTTTCTACGAGTTTGATTAGACAAATATCAGACAGATATCGTTCGATTATCTTTATATTATATCTATCTACAGTATTGACGGTACGATATTACATTATAATGTATTCGTTAATTACTAACTAATTTATATGTGCTTCCTGCCGTCTCTCTAAGTCACACGTATGTATATATATATATTTATGTACAATTGCACATAGTGCTAAGGAGGATACGGCTGCTGTGATAACAAATTCTCTAAAAATATGTAACGACGATTTGCCAAAACTTCTACGAACGGTTCTTCCGTTGCGACAGAGCGTCTCGTGTGATCTGAGATGATGAGATGAAGAGGAAAGAAAGAAGGCCGGGAAAACGAGAATACAGCAATATAAAAAGTTTGAAATTTCATGAAAACATTCTCTGGGGTACCCGGATAAAAAGGGAAACCACATCGAGGAGACATTGGTAAGAAAAGCCAGACTCCCGTGTATTTTATTTCTGATTTTTGAAACGAGCTAGTGTACGGAATTTCAATCCCCTCTTCCTGTATGAACTTCTATGCTGGTTCCCTGCGTATCTCCCGTGCCCTCTAACGCCCACTGCGCCCACTTAGCCGTCAAAACAAAAGTCCCGTAAGGCCGGCCCTGAAGAGGCGCTGTAGTATCATCTGATCGCAGCCAATGAAAATCGTAGGTCTGACCTTGAGGACGCTGTCGCAGAGCCATGGTCTTTGGCCGTTAACGCGAGCACGATCGCAGAATGGCAACGTCGAACACGAAGTGGCACATGAAAATGGGTGGATACGAAATACAAAAGTATCTTGGACGAAGAATTAGCTCCGTCGGACCGAACTGGGCTAATTGTCATTTCAGAGTAATAAAGTAAAGGCTCGAAGAGGCTGAATATGACAGCATGCGCGTGTGTCCATAATATTAAGGAATAATGGGGCATCCTAAGGGCACCCAAAATTCCTTTCGCCCCCATGAGACCAAAGAGCAAAGCACTCGAGAGAATACTACTGGGTTTTCACGTTTACACTGCGCTCATTTCACGACGAGGCCAAAATTAATGTTCTACAATTCGGCCCGGTGACGAAATAACAAACGAAAAGCTAGTCAGTCCCGTTTAGTCGACGTCAAAATAATGAACTAGACAAAGAGAAACATAACGCATCGCATTCGCTTGTCGAGCTTTGCAATAAATTATTTAAAAAAAAGAATAAATAAAGTTGAGGGTGAGCACATGAGTTTCGTAGTAGGTGCGGCCCGAGAAAAGTGCCAGAAGGCGCTTCGATCGCGATAACATAGTGATGAGGATGCTGATGACGATGGCAACGGCTATCCGAGCGAACTTCTCCAAAAAGCGAAGCTTCGATCGCGCCGAGGACGGCGTGACCTGGGCACCAACTTCCTCTTGTCCCTCATCGCCCAACCGCGACGTCGTCGTCTCCCCGCGTCAAAGCTCCTTCGGACGATTATCAAAGTAACGATAATGGCTCTTGCCAACTCCTCCGAAATAATTATCCTGCCAATTCGTTATCAGCAACTTCTGCTAAGACTTGGGCGAATGTCAATCGTTGTTCATGTCCTTCAGCTCGGTATAGGCTATCCGTTTCCGGTAGAGGCTTCCTTCCGTTCCCGATTTCCGTTTATTCGGCATGGTCGATGGTCCAGGCACGTAATAGTGACGCCTTTTGTACATCACCATCCTGCAACCGACAAGTAATACGTCACTATCTCGTGGACTTTGATGACGCTGCAAACGCGGCGGCGACGGGAAACCTGGAAGCATGAGACGCGCGCGCGCGCGCGCACGGATCAGGCGCCGATGCACTTTCACTCGCTCAAGCACACTCTCACTCTCTCTCACTCTCTCTCTCTCTCTCTTGTGACTAAGATCAAAAGGAGGGAGGGGGAGAGGGAGAGAGAGAGAGAGAGAGAGAGAGATAGTTTTACTACAGAAGCAGAGGTTCTACCATGACTTGGATTACATTTTTTCGAGTTTCACGGAATTAAAAAATTGCTCTCCATCCTACATGAAAGAGACTCAAAACGGTACGAGGAAGCAGGAGACGATAATGATCATTAACGTAGCATCGTCCAGAGAATATTTCGATATTTCTATGGAGATTGGATTTGGAAAAAAAGGCAGAAAGATAGTTCTAACAAAAGATCCTAGAAAATCCACTCTTCGTGCAAGATCATCGACAGCGCCCAGAAAGCGCGTAAATCCTACAGTCATCTTTTACATTGTATGATTTTGAGTGATCTTCAAAAAGCAACCGTGGTCGCGTTACATGCCTTAAAAATGACTTTTGGACAACAGTACGTATCGTCTGAGCCGCCAGCAGACAGTGCCAGGCTGCACGCGGACCAGCATGCAAAACTTCATCAAGAGACGGAAGAGTCAAAGACGGACGAGACGCTGAGAGTCGCAGTTCGGGTGCGCTTTGCAAATTAGGGGAAAAGGACGGCAGCACTGGAATGGAGGATCGCATGACGATCGTGTAGAAGGAAGCGCAGACTTTCGTCGACGACGGCAGCTCCCTCTCTGCCTTCGCAGCGTTACCAGCAGCAGCAGCACGCTACGCAACGTAAACGCATCGAGACCCGTGGAGGAGGTAGGTCCCCTGTTGCCGCCGCCGCCCCCCCTGCCGTCCCTGTCGCCCACTAACGACCATCTCTCCTGGAGTTGTTAGATCTCATCAGTCTGTTCGGTCGCCGAACGAGTACCTGGCAGAGACATGCGCCCCCGTAACAAGTTGCAAAAGGCACAACCGACTGCCTTGGTGGGAGGAGGGAGGAGGGAGGAGGGAGGAGGGAGGAGTTATTACTTACTACTTGTTGCTTGCAACGCACAATCACATGATCTCTCGCAACTGCACAATCTTTCATTTATTTACTTTATTGAGCTGAACTGGATGCAGTCGGCGGGCCGACGCCAAGGAGGTCGGATGGTTTTTCCAAACGAGTAGAGCAAATTTGAAAACTAAATGTAGAGGGCAGGAAGGGCTCGAACAATACGGAAGGTCTGCTCGACGTTCATGTAGCTTACAGCACTCCGGGGACTGGAGTGGGCATTGCTCTGGCATCGCCAAATGGACTTTTCTCAGAAACCGGAAGGTGAGTGGACAAGAGTCAAGAGATCGATCGCGCATGCGACATCGTGCATTGGCAGGAACTGTCACACGTGAGCTCCTGCACGAATTCACCATACGAAACACTGTTAAGGTGATCGACGGAGGCGTGAACACGTGTTCGTAACTTGATATGAAAACAAAAAAAAATTCGAGGGCAGAGGGTGCATAGTGTAAATAAAAGGTTTGAGGTACTCGTTATTCGATAATTATGGACGGACATTAGTCAAAGTGATTTTCTAGGGATTCAAAGTGCAAACGTGACGAGGAGCGTCGAGAAGCCGCCGGAGCGAGGGCGTGAGAGACTGTATTCGGCAATTTTTGAAAAAAAAAACTACAATCGTCTTGTCCAGCTTTCTTTCTGGATATCGGTTGAGAATTATGAATTACGTTATAAGGGACTGGAGTTCGGATGGACGTGAACGCAATTACTTTCGTTTTAACGAATTTTTTGGATCTTTCCCTAGACAAGAGTTAAAACGGCGTCCTTTGCTTATTTGCTTAATGCTTCTCTACTTCTTACTACACGTTTCGCGCTGACTAGATGCAGCTTTTCTCTCGTGCCCATTTACATATTTATACATTATTTACAGGCCATATACGGATCTGTTGGGTTCTCACTGTACATAGAGACATACGTATATACATAGAGGAGGAGACATACAAAACACGCAGCAGGCACGCAGGCAAGCGTGCGTATTTACACATTCACACAGAGTGGCGCGCGCGCGCGCGCGCGCGCACATGTACTTCACTGTAATACTGTGATAACAGTCGATAACACGAGGACGAGATACGGTGATGAGACGTCGCAAACTTGACGAATCCTCATGGCCAGCCACGAGCGTCAGTTCTATTCTTCTACTCCAAGCACCGCTCTTTCCTGGATTATTCGTCCTTAGCATTCATAGACGAACGACCCTCAGGGCTACAGTAGATCCTGGTGGCGCGCTCGTCCATTGCGCTATTAGGCATTACCTACCGAGTTTCTAATTATTTTTTCTTTTTTTCTTTTCTTTCTTTTTTTTTTCTTTTTTTTTTTCCTAATACTTTTGCGTGACATTTTTCTAGCTTGGAGGCACTGAAAAACAGCGACACGTAACGAAAATTGTCTGAAACAGAAAGAGAAAGGAACGAGGCATTAGTGAACGTGTGCTTTTGGCGCTTTTGTGCTTTTGTGCTTTTGTGCTATTGTGCTTTCACGGGCTCGCATTGGGTTACTCGAAGCGCGATACTAACCTCACCCTATGAATCCTGCTGCGAGGGATATGATGAGAGCGAGAACTCCTGTCATGAGTTGCCCTGCTGTGGAGATGACGAGTTGCTGATGTTGAGCGGCACTCTTGACGTAATCCTCCTGGACAAAGTGATCCTCGGCAGTGAGTCTGTCGGCATACTTATTGAGCAAGTCCATGACAACACCGTTTGACCAGCCGAATCCCAGCTGAACCTCGTACTCGCCACCACCGCCGTAACCCCCGCACACTGTGGCGTCGTACTGGAAGAGCCAAAAGAAATAAGTATCTCAGGAGAAGAGACTGACGCGGCAGGAGGCGTCGGCAGGAGGCGTCGGCAGGAGGACTCGAGAGTCCGAGTGACAAACCTTCTCGAACATGCTGTGGGTCTCGTTGAAAGCCTTGTAGTTGCTGCGCACCCATCTTTGACTGATCTCGTAAGCCAGCCTCTGGGCCCACGGGTCCTCGGTCCGATCTAGAGCCATAATGACAAAGTATTGCAGAGGCGGCCAGGCATTTGGATAATCCCATTGCTCTCCAGAGTGTTCGAGAGTCGTAGGTATCCCGCCGAGATTAATCATTATCTGACTCTTCTCGAGATACTTGAGGACCTTCATGACGTGTTCCTCGCGCTTTCCCGTATCGTAGCAGCCCGTCCAAAGAGGCAGAATGTTTGTCGGGTAGAAGTAGTCCCTTTTGATCTCGTTCAGTAAATCGTAGTCGAGCCAGGCGCCGACCTCGTCGTGCCACAGAATGGCCGTAACCGCTTCCTGCCATTGCTCGGCCCGTTTGAAGTATTCGGCCGCCTTAGTTGAATTTCCCAGCTTCTCGTTGAACTCGCCGAGAAGCCGCGCGTTGCGATAGATTATCGCGTTCAGATCCACCGGCACGATGTACCTGGTCTTGAGGTTGGTCAGGTTGCCTGAAAGGAAGACACGTGTCTGACACTGCCGGAAGGGCGGAATGGCGGAATGGCGGAATGGAGGAGGAAGAAAGAAAGGCAAACGCGGCTCTTAGGCATTACCTTTGTTGGTGCCGTCCAGAATGAACCAGCGGCTGGAAAAGTCCCAGCCGGATTCTGCGGCAGTCTTCAGCTCGGTATAATAATTGTCCTTTTCCTCGCTCGTGCGAAAGCTCTGGCTCGTGAGGTAATCCTCTCTGGAAGAGAGGGAGAGAGAGAGAATCAGGGAAGAGCAAACGAATATTTGGGAAATACGTAAAAAGCTCAAAGCGCGAGACGGAAGAACAGATAATACTATATGTATGCGATATACGGCAGACGATAGACAATTTAGTACCTGTAGGATTCGGGTCTGGGTCCAGTGGACTCTTCGTAGTAGCGAACCAGGGTGTAGTTGACCCCGTCCTTTTCGATATCGACGGTCCGATTGGTCATCCAAAAGTCAAACTCCTTCTCGAGGAGCCAGAGGTTCTCCCTGAGCCACTTGACGTCATCGGTTGCCTTCAAGTACTCCTCGACCATGGGAATCAGCAGCGGCGGATGCGACCTCATCGTGTAGTAGATGCGACCGCCGTTCGGAATATAGCCGATCTTTTTGACGATCGAAACGAAGTTCGATAGCATGCCTTTGACGGTCAGTTTCATTTCCGAGAGTAGCAGCCCCTTGATGATCCAGTAGGAGTCCCAGTAGTAGAACTCCCGGAAACGACCGCCCGGTACGATAACCGGATTCGGCACGTAGATGATCGAGTAGAGCTCCTCGTTCAGAAGAACGTCGTCCTTCATCTTTCGCCCGAGGAGCTTCCAGATCTGATTCAGATCCGAAGCGAACTTTCTGAGCTCGGGGTCGTGGATCCTTTGAAGAAACTGCGGATGAGTCTTCCAGTCAGCCGGCTCCCAGTCCTCGAACTCCGAGCCGGCCGGGTCGAAGGTTTCGTTGACGAAGGCGCGCACGTCCGCCTGGGTCGGCGTGTTGTTCGTTAGTCGCATGAATTCCCGAAAGAGGGACAGCGTCTCGTTCGGCGGATTCTTCATCTTCATGTCGACGAAGGTCTTCGAGTCGGTGTAGATCGAGGCCATCTGTATCGTGTGCAGCAGCTCCCCATGGCAATACACGTCGCTGCAACAGGTCAGGCAATGCAGACCCGCTGCTTTACTTTGTACACGCATAGCCGTCCTATCTCTAGCTCCCTTATCCCCATCTATTTCCTTGGTCCATTCGCTCCCCTGTATCTCTACACCCCATCCCCTATACTTTGCTTTTCTTCTCCTCGCTTCCTTCCGTAGTGTCCTTGACCTCCTCCTATCCCTCCCACCCCTTCTGGCTATCGTCAAATCGCGAGCAGGACGTCAACCGATCGGGCCTAACAACTCCTTGCAACGTGCATGCAGGAGTTTCCTTGAACAGGCTGTAGGAGTTACCGGCATAGGGAGAGTCTTCAGCGAAACAAGCGAAACAAGCGAAACAAGCGAAACAACCGTAACGTAAACGGTAGCCTGAGCAGATAGGCGCGAGGTGTCGTTGAGGCTCTCCTCGCCTTCAGTCGCTTCGCTGCGCGTTGCGGCTTAATTGCTGGTAAAACTGAGTCGCCTGCGTCTCCCTCGATCCCCGGAGCGTTCGCGAGGCGAGCTCGAACTTTCGGAAAAAGCAATTTCCGAAATTGTGGGCAGCTACGTCCGAAGGAATTCTCGAAATTTGTACGAAGCCCGAGCGACGCGTGAGCCCCGGCCGAAGGAAGGAAGGAAGGAAGGAAGGAAGGAGCTCCGAGCCGCATCGAACGGTCGTGTCTCTGTATAAGCGTGCTAAGAAAAGTGCCGAACGTTTGAGCATTCGAGGAACGAGTCTCTGACTGTCTCAGGCCTTAGGCAATTGGAACGGCGGATCAGAGCGTCGGCCGTCGCGCGGCCCTCGCGAGACGCCACACGGATTAGCGCCTGAGATAACGAGCGGAGGATGCGCCCTGTGGATTCGAGAAATTTCGAAAACGTCCAATTCTCCTCGAGGCAAAGGCGTCGCGCGCGTTTAAAAGCGTCGAGGCGTCGAGGCGTCGAGGCGTCGAGGCGTCGAGGCGTCAAGCGCGCAATTGACTAACGTCAATGCCGTTGTTATCGTAACGATGACGATCCTTCCTGTCTCCAAGTGATAACACAGGAGGGAAAACGACGTTTCAGCGAAATACCTTGAACGAGACGCTGCCACGCCCACGTGCCTCAGAGTTAACGAGCTCCCTCTATTCGCTCTATGGTAATTAGACAATATTTAAAAGAATCTTTAATGCCGGTCGTTAAACGATAAAAGATCCCTCGGCTTATAGATTAAGTAATGTGGAAGATATGGGGAGTCGGTAAAGAATATTAAAATTTTAGAATTTTCCAAATATTTCAATCCGATATATCTGAGGGACGCGGGTATCGATGGCGATCGATAAATTTGAAGGGACCCATCCTAGAACCCAATAGGAACTAGAGACCGATCGGAGAAGATCGATTTAATGTCGGTGCAAGTGGTGACGAAGGATGCGATGATAGTGACGTACTTACCTAACACACGGGGGTGGACGAGTCGTGGAATCGGCTGTGCTGTCTGCAGCGACTAAATCCTCTAGCGTGAAGATCGTCAAGATCGTGAAGATCGTGAAGAACGCAATTGCCCGTAGTGGTAGGACGGCCGAAATGATTCTCGACAACATCATTTTTACTTTTAACCTCTCCTCTCCTCTCCTCTTCGCTCCTCTTTTCGTTATTCTTGTCCTTCGCGCACGACTGTCTCTCTCTCTCTCTCTAGCTCTCTAGCTCTCGCACCCGCGCACTCGTACAAACGTACACGCAGGCAGACGCACACGCACACGCACACCTTCTATATCTCCCTACTCGTCACTCTCTCTCTCTCTCTCTCTCTCTCTCTCTCTCTCTCTCTCTCTCTCTCTCTCTCTCTCTTTCTCTCTCTCTACTTGGTATATTCCAAAAAATTCTTGCTCTTCTTCTCTTCTCTTCCGGCTTCTTCCCTGCCCTTTCTCACGCTTTTCCCGGACTCTTTTGAATTCTGTTTTGTCGAAAAATCTGCGCGTCCCGCGTTTCGCGGGTCGAGAGCAACGCAGGTCGAGAAGGCAACGTACGAGGAGGCGGCGGGGTTGTGTTGTATTCCTTACTTTTTGTCAATAGCCCTCGGGCGCGGAGCTTCCGACTTGGCAAGTCTGCGCGACGGCTTCAGCTCCGGAAGCAAGCTCGCATCTTCCCTGAAACAAGAAGCATAAGAAAAAGACGATGAGAACGTTTGCACGTTGCAAGAGGCGGCGTAGCGCGCGACTGCTGCACATTCGACGGATGCGCGCTATTCGCCACTGGCCGCTCGCCGCTCGCCGCTCGCCGCTCGCCGCTCCTCGTGGGATCTTCCTTCGTTTCGAAGAATGTCTCGGCTGTGGCGAAGGGAAGAGGCAAGGTCAATCGCTACTTAACGCTTCGTTACGCGATCTAAATATAGTGGGGCATTTGCGTTGTCGTCGCGCGGTGAACGAACGAATCAACGAACGAGCGAACGAGCGAACGAGCGAACGAACAAAACAAGAGGGTCAACCTGTCGAGTGAATAGACCAAAATAAAAAGCTCAAGCGAAGCAAGGAACAAATTTGATCGTAACAACAATTTAAAGAAAATTTCCAAGACACGAATGTGCAGCGAATATTATTCGGTATCCGTGTTGCAACCGGTACTGCTCTATGTGACACGTGCGCCTGGCGCGCTCACGAGTAAACGCGCAATGGGATTTTTACGGGGATACCCGTAAACCTCTACCTGCCAGTCGGAAAGCCAAAAGCCCAAAGTCCTTGCTCCTTCGACGGACGATAACGAGAATTGCGCAGGGCAGCACACTCCTTCCGACTCCTCTCGTTCGCTATTCTCGCTCAACGGACAAACTTAGCTGGCTAAATGAGACTGATGCACATTTTTGTTTTTCTCAACCGAATTAGAACTCCAATAGATTTCTCTTCCTCCTGAGGTCACCTGAGGTTTCTTCTTTAATCCGATTAAACAGGTCGAACCGTCGCGTGAATCTATATCCTATACTCACTCGCGGGGGAATCTACGTTCTTCAAACTGTACGAAGAACGTCGAGTGTAGGACAGGCGAACGGGTAGGCGGAAGTTGTCAATTCGTCGTACCTGCCGCCGTTGCAGCTCGATGTTATTCGGAACTTTGTTACTTCACAAGTAAAAATTGGGCGGACGTCCGGGAGAAGGAGCAGGAGCAACAGCAGGAGCAACAGGTCCGACAGCTCGACCCGTAACGCCTCGAATTTCCCAAAGTACTGACGCGAATGACTCTCTGCCGTGTTTCTTGATTCTCCGAGGTTCGCGCTGGCGGTTGAGGCAGTGTAGTGCTGCGGTGGGATCGACGTCGATCGAGAGTCGAGTGTCTCTTTGGAGGCAGCCGGTGAAAAGGCGGGCTTCTGTGGATACGGGGGAGGAACGTCGGAAGAAGGAGGAGAGGAGGCTGGAGAACCAGAGAAAAGATAGGAAGAGGAGGAAGGTGACTACTCGTCGAAGGGAGAAGAAGCAGAAGACACGGCAAGCATCACTGTGCGACTCGCGATCTTGAGCCAGCTGGTACCGCGGCAGTTGGAAGTGGCAGCTGGAAGTGGTAGCTGGAAGTGGCGGTGGAAGTGGCGCTGGAAGTGGCGGTGCAAGTGGCGGCGGCACGTGCACCGTTCGCTCTATCCGCAATACGACTGAAGGAGCCTGACGAAGGGAGGCTGCTTTTCAAAACGTATCACGCGGTTACGCGACCACCGGGAGTCCTCGCGATGACAGAGTAGAGCGTCATTGGCCGACCGCGCCTCCTGATCTTTGCGATCTGGTTGGTCGAAAACTACGTCAGACCTCCGTTCCGATTCTCGACTCACCTGACATCGCTTGCGGTAAACCGAGCAACCGAGCAACCGAGCAACCCTCTTGGCCACTGGGCGACCTCGCGCATTTTCCTCGATTTCGTGTCAAAGTGGCAATGACCGAAGTGCCACTGACCGTCGTCCGGCAACCATCCGGGTTCTCGAGAAAAGACAAGCCAGCCCAGTCTTGAGCCAACGGCTGGTCTCGCTCCGCGTGTCCTGCGATTTCAAACTTTCGCCTTGCCACCTTAAGTTACAGACATTCGGCTGACACAAACGCTCGAACTGGCTCCTACCCCGTCGGATCGACGAAAAGGCGTCCTGGGTCGCTAATACGATGCACGTGTTACGAGGTGATAGGTACGTACGTACTGCCCTACGTATAATGGCACGTACTGCCCGAAAAAAAAACATCTCTCAAGGCCGCGAAAAATAAGCAGCGACGTAAATAGGAACAGGCGGGCGGGCAAGCACCTCGGAGTCGGTCGCGTTCTGTGGCTTATTGCACTTGAGAGCGCGGAGGATCTTTTGTCGCGTAGATGGCGCTGACGGCGTAGACGAACGTTCCGCGAGATGCTCGACAGACTCATGGTCGGACAAATAAACAAAAGGAGTCTACGATGACAAGAGAACGATCGGTTTTTCCTTCTTCCCTTGTCCAATCACTCGATAGTGCAGTCGCGCGCTCATTCGGCTCGACAGTCTACATGGCGATTCTTGAACGTTTCAGCCAAATCGTGTACCGGGCAGAGGAGCCCGAGCAGAGGATATCTCTTGCCTGTTTCCACGAATCTTGATGCACCGTCGGTCTTCTAGCGAAAAACAATTATGAAGCTAAACTAGGGCGCGCATTTGCGTCTATCGTAAGATTACCTAGTTTCCAGACCTGAACAACATATAGGTTAACGATAGTCCATTCATTGAGTCTGGGGGGGGGGGG